TGCCAAGCGACGAAAACCCAACCCCGATGGCAAACACCGGGGGGGGTGGGGGGGGGCAGCGACATTCTATTGCGGAATTAACCTCCTTTTCATCGTGTAGAAAGGCGGAACTGTACCAAGCAAATTTGTGTTTGGGCGGTCTGGGTGTCGACATAGTTTCGGAACACCGCAAAGACAGACAACAAGCACGTCTGTCTCTCGATTTTTGAAAACTGCGCTCTCTTGAGGCAAGTCGTCTACATTCTCTGTCTGCCACCGTGCGCGTTTTCACCACGTACCATCGGCCCTGTACCAATCAATATCGCAGCGAATACCAAGGGTGGCGGTGAAGTTGAGGACACAGGAGGCTCCGCGGTTGCGTGGGGGGGGACCCATGCGTTGCCCTCCGGGATCGTGGACACGCTCTTCGCTCTCCTGGATGTGGACGGCGACGGTCGTCTGGACCAGTCCGAGTTCATGACCCTCATGGAACGGCAGTCCGCGATACCCGATCCGGTGATAGGAGCTGTTTTTTCTTTGTTTTTTTACGACAGTGCTCACACACAGCATTTGTGCCGGGTATGCATAGGATCAGAAAGATCACTTGCCGCGATATTTTGCAGTTCGTTTTTTTTTTTTTTTGCCGAATGTGTTTGTTTTCCGAATCTGTACCGGTAACCACAGCGGGTTCGAAATCACTGCTGTATCTTTCAGCGTGAGGTGTATGCATTTGCTTGAATGGCGGACTCCGTCATAAGAGACTCTGAAATAATTTGCGGTATCAGCAGACTTCCCACAACTACTGAGGGGTTTTGTTTAAACACAATGCTTCGCAGTAGATTGATTGGCCACGACACGCAACACAGAGATTCAGGCAACTTGATTAGCTGATGCGACGGCGATCGCACTGTCGACTTCCGGGTACCACTCTGGAGTGTTGCTATTCGCCTGGGAGAATGAACGGCGGGACCATTAGTTTGTCCTGGAGTTGATTGTCGACCGCATCCAAAACACATTGTTTGTTCTCGATGGAACTGGGAACATGAAATGCGCGGTAATGATAACGCAAACAAACGTGGCAAATAAGTAAATACTACCACGCGAGACTTTATTCTACCCCGGTCTCCCTGCCGCTCGCGCATGCACCCCTTCATCCCCCTTTCCTCACCCACCGTCCCATGTCCGTATGGGCTGCATCCCGTGCACGGGAATGACTGACTGACAGTTGTGCTCGTGTTTTTTCTTTCTTGCTTGTTTTTTGTTTGTTAAATAGCCGAGAACCCTAGGGGTGGTGGCCTTCATGCGACGCTTGAAGGACTGCGCGGAAAATTCTTTCTTCTAGGCGACTACCGCAGCTTCCACCGTGGAAACGGTCCTGTTACCGAACGGGTACAGGCAAGGGGGGCGAGTCGGATCACGTCACAACCAACCAGGACCGTGGTCGCAGAAAGCGCCTTCGGGGAGGGAGGCACGCTTTTTTAGGGTCTTCGGGGTGTTTTGGCAGGCAGAGAGAGCATACCTGTCGAGGAGAGGTCGGGTGAGCTGGCTAGAAGTTTAAGAGATGGAGGATTGGCCGAGTTGGTACGATATGGAAGAGAGAACACACTTACTTCTGTTGAGAGCGAAGGGTGGGATGGCAATAGCAGTTTGAGAGAGCGAGGGGACCTTGGGCGACAGCAGAGTAGATTATATGTTTGTGGTTTTTTGGGTGATTTGGCCGGCAGAGAGAACACTTGTGGTGAGGTTGGAGAGCACGCGTGTTTGGTGAGCGAGCGAGAGAGGGGGGCATGGATTGTGGGTCGCGGGGGGCACGACAGAGTGGATTTGTCCACCAACAAAGCGGTGGCCGACCGGTCGGTGGGTAGAGCTCTTTGAAATACCTTGCGGCCAGGCAGAAGAAACGCACAGTGGTGTGTTGCTCACTCTCCGGCTGCTGGGGGTCTCCTCTCGAGAGGCAGTTAGGTTAGCACCAGCCCGGAGAGAGAGGAAGAGAGAGAGACAGAGGGAGAGACAGAGATGTTGCTTCGGAAAAATACACTTACAGTAAGAGAGAAGTTTTGTTCTGTTGGGGATACGCTGTCATGGAAAGAACAAAGGGAGCGACGAAATCCCGCTGGAATCTATCTCGGCGAATTAGCAAGGGTAATCGATGATGTCGGGGGCAAGAATAAGGCGCGGAGACACCCAGGCCAGGGATACCGAGGCCGGTTGACGGGGAGTCGGGGACAAGCAGACAAGCAGCTGCTACGTTTAACCTCTGTTGCTCTGTGCGCCCACATGCCATTCGATGTTGGCAGCCCCAAGTAAGACCGACCTGTCAGTCGGTGGATAATAATAGATGACACGTATCGGCCGAGTAGACGCCATAACAACGGTAGAGAAGAGGTTGCGTTGGAAGAGATATTGCGTGCATAGTCTAGAAAAATTAGAGCGGGCGTGATGAGCTGATCGACAGTGACCGAAAACGAAGAGGACAAGCAAGGCAGAACGAAGAAAAAACATAATGGGAGGGGTACCACGCGAAAGGAAGGGTTCGAGGAGCCCTGGGGGGGGACGACGCCTGTCACATACTAATGCGTTTTCGTTCATCGACCCCCCCCTGTGTTCGATAAAAAGGAAATAGGTATGGATACTTGACGGCGGACTAGAGATAGACGTAAGAGAACCAAAGCGGGCAACATGTCCGTCGCTGATGTTTCCCCGTTTGTTTTCGCTTTTTGTTCTTGTGTGTTTGGGCGGTGGTCCTCCGTCACCACTAAATGGGTTGGAAGAACATGGGACACGGATAAGATATTTTTTTCACATAACCCTTCCGCGACTCGGCTCCTTCCGCGATGATTTTCTCACGTGGGCGCGAGCACGTCAGATAGCCGGCCACATGTATCGATGCCCCGGTCCGACCTCTCGCGCAATCACGAAAAAACCATCCGTGTTGTTAGCATTAGGCGGTGTGTGCGTATTGAAAGGTCGATCATCATGCATGTTGTACTGCGTCAGGTAGACCGGTACGCATGCTCAAAGGCACTGAAAAGAGACAAGACCGGAACGCTCTTAGTGTCAGGCAACCACCCTTCAGAAACTCATGGCAGTCAGAATATTGCGACACAACACGTCCCCGTGGATGATGATGGTGGTGGAGAGGACGCTCGCTCGTGTTTTTCGAGACGATGATCCCGGTCCATCTCAAGATTATCCCAAAACACGTTGTTGAAAAAGCGCAGGCTTAGTACGGAGAAAAAGCNCATCCCTACAAAGCCGGGACGGAGCACGCCGGGTTCTCACCGGCCCAGGCTCTCACATCACCGAGCGCGAAGCGCCGTGAGATATTCGGCGAGTCGCATGAAGGGTGCGCTGCATCCTGCTAAGGGTTTTCGGCATCTTGTGCTTACTTCCTTGTGTACAGATGACAGCTGCGCATGACTTAATTTATTTTCTGGTGCTTTCACTTCAAGAGACAGTTGGCGGGTTCCGGGCTAAAGACGAATAGTTTTCACGAATTTTTCAATAAGCAGCAACAAATGGGTCCCAACCTCTGAAAATTTGTACCAACATCCATTAGGTCACGAGGATCACGAAAAAATACTTATTTTCCCATTTGGGTGTCGTGGTGATGACTTATTGCTGAATGGGTGGCTAAAATTTGGTGAAAATCGCGTCTGCGGGCCCCCCGAGCAAGATGCAAACGCCTCCGAATTGTACAAAATTTTCAGGAGAGGGTAGTGTTGTGGTGTAGATCAAGAATCCGTCGTCAGAATTTTGATCAGGATCGATGCGGCCGTGATACAGCTACGCACTGATATATCTATATGTATGTGCGAAAGCAGGGATAACCTGGAATTACAAGGAATTACACTGAAATATCCCCCCTCCCGCAACACTTTCCACATGTTGATTCAATCTCTCCTGACTTTATGTTATGGTAATTTTGGGGTGGAGATCACAAAGATATTATTGGAATGTCCCAGTTTTGATTTGTAATGGACTTTCAGCTGCTCAAAAGCTGACAGCAGTAGCTGAGCAATTTCAAAATTCCTGGGATTTTGGATTCTCGGTTCCCGCGTCGAGTTTTTGTCTGATCAACTTTCTGAGTGGCTCTACCCCCCCCTAAATCGGCCAAGCGGAATCGATTGCCGAGGAGAAATGGAGGCGCCGAAATCGGCAACGCGGTGAAAAAAAAAATCAAGGCAATCCGATCACAATTTTTTTTTTTTCTCTTGTTTTTATGCTTTTAAACGTCGTTTTAGACACATCAAAAAACGGTATTTAGTTTGAGTTTTCCTCGCCGCGGGAGAGACAATTCGTCTTTACCGCGGAACCCGCCAGTTGTAAGCACTGTTTAACTGCCTCAAGGGTGCTTGACCATCTTAACACAACGTGGTGCGATCATCCCCCTTGCGCGGAGTGAGGGTTCTCCACCCCGCACAACATGATCTACTCGACCACCATTATGGTTACCGCCAAAAGCAAAACAGAGGTGAAAAAAAAAAACGATAACCTGGTTGCCGAGTTCACGAAGTGAATGGGCTTGTTNCAAGCGCGAAGCGCCGTGAGGTATTCGGCGAGTCGCATGAAGGGTCAGCTGCATCCTGCTAAGGGTTTTCGGCATCTTGTGCTTACTTCCTTGCGTACAGACGACAGCTGCGTATGACTTAAAATATTTTTGTGTGTGTTTCACACCATCGTTGCCAAGCGACGAAAACCCGATTAGGGGGAGGGGGGGGGGTACAGCAGCAGATCGCTGAAGGTCATCACCTGCCTCTTACCCCGCCACGGGATCTGATCCATCACGCCTCCTCCAAAGCTCCACTTACAGCACGCAGAACCCGCTTCGTACTACAAGCTGAACAAAGCACAACGGTTTTTTTACCTTCTCTTTCCCTGCCACCCAAAAACCCCACGCTCTTCTTATCGCACTCCGACTTCCCCAAAAAGCCAGCAGTAGCAGTACCCCGTCCTGGGAACCAACAAAACTCGCTAGATAAGTAGACCCCTTCTGTCGGACCCCGTGGCGTCCTTACAATCATCGAGCTGCGCAGATACCGGTGCCAACAACGCTGACGAAGCCGCCCGCCAAGGGACCACACCCACCCAGAGGAATGAAAGCAATCACGCCCCCTCCCGGCACCGAAAAAACACACAAATAAGAGGCGGTGACACAGCAGGCCAAAACGCCTCAACCCGACATACAAGGGCTACCTGTATGTACAACCGGATAACTGGCAGTCGCGCTTCTAGGGGGCGCACTTAACCCCGTAGGCCTTAGCTATCAAGAGCCCACAAACCCAAACGACGTATTCATTCCGGAACACATCATCAAACACTCCCTCGTGTTTGTTTGGCGTTTCGCACATAAAGGCTGACGCCTTTCTCATTGGTCAGGCGGTTAACACAGCCGACACCGATCAAAGGAAGAAAAGAATCACACACATGAAACACACAACGGTCTGAGACGCGCTGTTTTTCAACCGCACTGAGACTTCTATCTGTTCAGTGGTCAGCCGGTTGGCGCGGCCGATGCTAACAATACAGGCCCACACACTACTGTGTTGTCTGATAGAAATGGTACGTGAGAAGAAGGAATCTGGCGTTCAACTCCTGCGCTCCCCCCCTGTCGTCAGCAACTCTATCACTAGAAAATGTTCGTGTTTTTTATCCCGCAACAACTGTCGTATTTTCATTTGTCAGCCGGCTACCGCGGTCGATGCCGATAATAAAGACACACACATATCTACATATTTGATTGGAAAGTGCTGGTGTTTCTTATTCCGCTGCAAGGCGCAACGTCTTTTCATTGGTCAGCCGCTCAGCGCGCTCGATGCAAACCCAAACACCCAGGCACAAAACAGGGGGATGATGCCATGTGCGAAAAGCTCGTCAAACAGCAACATGACCCTCCTCGGTCAGCACTTCCTCGATCGCTCGTTTGCCATCACGTGGCGAGGCTCTCTCGGTTGTCGTAGGTCCAGAACCCGTTCGTGTCGACGAGCATGGTCACCACCGTGTGACCGGCGCCGCTCGCCAGCAGGTCGGCGAGGGTGATGAAGGTAGGGTCCGCCGGCTTGACCATGTCGAAGATCTCGTCCTACTCTCCCGCGCGTCGATTGATCGAGGGCGGTTGTTGTTGTGCGCCACGGCGTCATAATCGTCGTCAAAAATTTTGTTGACCATTGGGGGCATACGAGGGAAGGGGACGCACGTACAGGGAAGATTCGTGAAACAGTGAGAAGGGGTAAGGCGCGGGGAATGGACTGGAAACTAGTCGAAGCTGTGCCCGCTGGGTCGAAGTTACGGACGGATATGCACGATAAAACTCGCAAGATGGGAGCGGCTTCACATAACTTGTTGGACCTGCCTACGTTAGACTAGGGGCTGATTCTCCAGGGATAAAAAACAAACATACGCTGAACAAGATAAAAAAAGGGTCCAGAAAAATAGAAAACGTATGTACCTTGACGTCATCGGTGGTGGGAGTCTCGAAGCCACCCTCCTCGAGAGCGCGCGCGATGTCTCGGAAGAAGAGGTGAATGGTCGAATTTGTGAGGCGCCCCTTGCCTTGCACGTCCAGAACTCTCCAAAAGTACTGCATCGCCTGCCGTTTTGCGGTGCCCCCGTACGACACCCCGCAAGAAAAGGAAGCAACAACTTAGAGTGCACGACCAGGCGACGGATACTGCATCGCATGGGCTACGCTGCGAATAACTTGATTACCCCTACGAGTGAAATAGATGTAGAATCTCAACGGTTGCGTTTCGAACCACGCACCCTACAGGATAAAAAGGAGTGACGTTTGTTAAAAACAAGGGAGTGCCATAGATCCTTCGAATTGCCATATGGCATCGTTAGGGTAGCGGCGTTGGTAGGGTCATTTATGGTAGACAATATCGCTGGAAGTACGACCCAATACCCCCGAACAAGAGAACGAGAGACCTTCCACGGTAAGTGTACTCCCCTGGAACAAGCCAAGGACAGTACGGCTACGGGGGTGACGCACACACGATGGGACTAGGTACCCCCCCCCACCTCCGTCCGTCGTGAGGACAAGCCCTACTTACATTAGACACCCGAGGGGAGAGAGCGGGGAGGAAAGCAACGGCAACCGTCTAAGGGCAACAACAGAGCAATCCTGTCGTGCCCGCAAACATACTTACCAAAAGGGTAAATGGGATGCATGCCGTCGATATTTTTTGTAGTTGTTGATTTGCTGCTTCAATTCCCACATTTGTCCCAGGTGGCGCGTCTCTCTCGACCAAGACACAAGGCAAAAAAAAAAAACGAAGGATTTCTTCAACTGCTTATACACATACCTGGCGGGTCTGCTTGTTGTCCATGGCCAGCACCAGGTCCAGGAAAGTCTTATAGTCCATCTGCGCCTCCCCCGCCGCCCTCCCCCCCGCCCCCGCCGCCTTCCCCGCGCCACCACCAGCAGGAGAGGCTTTGCCACCACCGCCACCGCCACCGCCACCGCCACCGCCGGCGACACCGGGAAACGACGAAGAGCACGGGGGGCTGCTGCTACCCACAGCGGTGGTAGGGCCCCCGCCAATTCCCGGGGACACTGGCCTCGTCGGGGACAGTGTGCGCACCCCCCCGTTGGTCGGCGACAGCGGCAGCAGGCCGCTGCCGCCGCCGCCGCCGCCGCCCCGGGAGGCGACCGCCGCCGCGGAGGTGCGGGGAACGGGGCAGGCGATTGAGCACGACGGCGTCGCCGCCGCCGTCGCCGGCGGCGGTGATGACGGCAGGGGGGGAGAGACCGGCGATGACGGTGATACCACGGCGCCCCCCGCTGCTGCTGCGGCGTTGGCCGTAGAGCCCGTTCGGATCGGCGACGGGGAGACGAGGTAGGGCGGTTCGGAAGAACCGGCGTCAGCAACAGCAGCAGCAGCAGCAGCAGAAGGCGGCAACGACGGGGTAGTGACCCTTGCCGCCTCTGTTCTTCCTCCTCCGCCATCCGCGGCAGCAGCAGCAGCAGCAGCAGCAGCAGCAGTAGCAGCAGCCGGGGGCGGCGACTGCGGGGTGGTGGGGGAGACGGGCGGGGGCTGCACCCTGTACGTGACCACCTCCTCGAACAGACGCTGGATGAACACCGGGGTAAGCCGTGTTCGTTGCCGCGAGCCTGGGGGGGGGTGGGGGGCGGCCGTCGGGAAAAAGGGTGTGAGCGCGTGTGTTTGAGTTGGTGGGCGTGCAACACGTCCAACAGAGCAAAGGTCGCGTTTCTTCCTGACGAGGACGATGTTTCGGGAAGACGGGTCGTGGGTGCACCGCAGTGTGCTTCTTGGTGGCTACATAGTTATTCAAACTTCTTCATCGCGCGCAAGATACCGCTCATCTTGCTTAACGTACTCCCACCGGGAGATAGAAACATACGTGCTAGCTATGCATGCAACGCGTTGACGGCGCACTTTTAGAAACGATTCTATAAATTTGTTCGGACGTTGGTTCCAGCGGGGTCAACCCCTCCTTCCGGCGCCGCCCCTTCTCGGCAGTCTTGAAACACAACCAAAATTGTAAGGTATACACAGTATCACACCACCGTAAGTACATGAAGAAAAATGCATCTGCTACATGGACCCATCGTGCGGAAACGCAAGTAGACATGAAAGGTTGATATGATAGATTGATGCGATAGGTCGATATGATAGGTTGACATGATAGGTTGACATGATGGAGGGATTCGGAGAATGCAACAGGAGAAAACGTCACGCCAAAACCGAGGGATAAAACAACAGCCCAACCTCGCCGATACACCCTTCTCCACCAACGCCGCTGATGATCCTCGCCGCGGTTTGATCGTTGCTTGACATACCTCTCTCCCGTTTATACTCTCCTTTGCCCCTGTCTGCCTCTGTCCTTCCTGCGTCTCTGCCCCCCCCCCCCCCC